TGTGGGGTCATGGGGGGGGTATATGGGGTCAGGGCGGGGTTATGTGGGGTCAATGTGGGGTCATAGGGGTCACTGTGGGGTTATGGGGGATCTGCAGGGGTCATGGGGGGGTCAAAGTGGGGTGATGGGGGGGTCAATGTGGGGTCATGGGGGTCAATGTGGGGTCATGGGGGGTCTGCAGGGGTTCTGGGGGGGGGTCAATGTAGGGTTCTGGGGGATCACATAGGGGTCATAGGGGTGGGGGTCCCATAGGAGTCCCATTGGGGTTATTGGGGTCTATGGGGTCCCATAGGGGCGGGGGTCCCATAGGAGTCCCGTTGGGGTTATTGGGGTCTATGGGGTCCCATAGGGGTGGGGGTCCCATAGGGGTGGGGGTCCCATAGGAGTCCCGTTGGGGTTATTGGGGTCTATGGGGTCCCATAGGGGTGGGGGTCCTATAGGGGCGGGGGTCCCATAGGAGTCCCGTTGGGGTTATTGGGGTCTATGGGGCGCACTCACAGAGCACCTCCAGCCGATAGGGGGCGCTGCGAGCCCCGCCGGCGACGTTCCGCACCTCACACTCGTATTGCCCGCCGTCTTCCGGTCGGGGGCCGCGCAGGCGCAGAAGGGATCCGGCATTGGGAGAGGAGTGAAGCGGGATTCCGTCCCGGAACCACGTGACCTCGGTGGGGGGCGGGCGGGCCGGGCCCCATTGGCAGCGCAGCGTCACCAACCCCCCCTCAGCGGCCCGTTGGGGGCCGGGGGGGTCCGGAATGATGCGGGCGGAGCGCGGAGCGTCTGGGGGCCCGAAGGGGGACTATGGGGGCTCACTGGGGTCTATGGGGGGGTATGGTGTCCTGCTGGGGTCATTTGGGGTCCCGTTGGGGTCCCATTGGGGGCTATGAGGCCTGTGGGCCTCATTGCCCCCCATGGCTCCCATTGCCCCCCATGGCTCATGTCGCCCCATGGCTCTCGTTGTTCCCTATGGAGCCTCACACCACACGACGACGCTGACGGGCTCGGCGCGGACGGTTCCCGCCTCGTTGGACGCTGCGCAGCGATAGGTTCCCGCCCGCGAAGGGTCCGCCTCAAAACTGAGCTCCTGACCAATGGCGGCGTCCGATGGGTTGTCCAAACGCTCCCATTGGACGATGGGTGCGGGATGGGCGGGGCCGACACGGCAGCTCAGGGTGACACGTGACTTCTCCAGAGCCGGAAGTGGCGTCAGCGGCGTCACGGCGACCGAGCGTGGAGGGTCTGCGGGGGGGGGGGGGGGGCTGGGGACCCCATAAGCGCCCCATAGCGGCCCCATAGATCCATCAGGGCCGCCCCATAAGTGTCCCACAGATACCCAATAAAGGGACACATAGGGACCCATAGAGACCCATAGGGACCCATAGGGACCCACAGGAACCCATAGGGACCCACAGAGACCCATAAGTACCCATAGGGACCCATAGGGACCCCATAGAGACCCCATAGGGACCCATAGAGACCCACAGAGACCTTATAGAGACCCACAGGGACCCACAGCGACCCATAGGGACCCATAGGAACCCATTGCCACACACAGAGCCCCCAAAGCCCCATAGAGACCCCATAACGCCCAATAGGAACCCACAGAGACCCATAGAGACCCATAGGGACCCCATAACGTCCCATAGGAACCCACAGAGACCCATAGAGACCCCACAGAGACCCATAGGGACCCACAGGACCCCACGGAGCCCTCAGCGCCCCCTGCCGGCCCCCCACTCACACAACACCTCCAGCCTCACAGCCGCGGCCTCGGCCTCCCCCTGGCTGTTGGTGGCGCTGCAGCCGTAGAGCCCCGCGTCGGCGCTGTGGGGCAGCAGTTGGAGCTGCGCCCCATCGATGTGCAGCGCCGCCCCGTTGAGGCTCCAGCCGTAGCGATGGGGGGCCGGGTTGGAGGTGGCCCGGCAGCGCAGGGTCACCCCGCGGCCTTCGGGGATGGGGGAGCGGGGCGTCACTTCGACCCACACCTCGCGGGGGGGGGTCGGGGGGGAGGGGGGGGCGGCGTCACCGGGACCCATAGGGACGCGTTGGGACGCATCGCGACCCATAGAGATCCGTAGAGAACCATAGGGACCCGCGGGGACGCTATAGGGACCTGTAGGGACCCATAGATACCCATGGAGACCCATAGGGACCAATAGGAACACATAGGGACCCATAGAGACCCATAGGGACCCATAGAGACCCACAGGGACCCATAGGGATCCACAGAGACCCATAGGGACCCATTGGGGCCCCATAAAGACCCATAGGGACCCATAGGGACCCCATATGGAACCCACAGAGACCCATAGGGACCCCATATGGAACCCACAGAGACCCATAGAGACCCATAGGGATTCATAGGGACCCATAGAGACCCATAGAGACCCATAGGGATTCATAGGGACCCATAGAGACCCATAGAGATCCATAGGGGCCCATAGAGACCTATAGGGACCCATAGGGATCCACAGAGACCCATAGGGACCCATTGGGGCC